TTGGAGTTGTCCTTGTCTCCAAAGAGCGCGACTATGTCTCGTTTGATGCGAGACAGTAGCACGTCTCGCGTCAAGCAGTCGCCATAATGAGCCGGCCTAGCGCGGACCACGGGCCTTCAACTCTCTCTTCTTTCATCCTTTTTCATGTTTTTGCATTTGTTGTTTACTTTATTTTTTTACTTTTCCTTATATTTTGAAACATTCCAAATATATCTACTATAAAAAAATACTTTGCATACTATTTAAAAAAATGTTAATCACGCATTTGAAAATTGTTAAACGTGTCTATCATATCTTACCACAAAACTTGTTAAGGCTTCCTAAGCTTTTAATGGTTTAAAAGTTATCAAAAAATATGAAATAAATAGTAGAGCATCACTCTAATGTAATAAGATGATACAATAGAGTGATTGTCAAATATACATTTATGTGACATCGGCAAAAAACACAATGGTTCCAGCACACTGCGACATAAATATTTATTGAACTAATTGTTTTTTTGTCCAGGGCATATATACTCTTATTTTTTTTTTCAATCACTCATTGGATCATGTTATATTATAGGTGTGTTGTTTTAGTATTTTTTTGTCAGGATTTTTGGGAACTTGTACACCATCGAAAACCTTAAGTAGTTATGTGGTAAGATATGATAGAAAATCCTACTCCTGTATATATATAATGTTAATCATGTATTTTAAAAAATGTTAAACGTATATATAAAAAATATTCCTGATGTATGAAAAATGTACAATGTGTATGGAAAACAGTAGACATAAAAAGAAATACTCCATCTGTCCCATAATGTAAGACACTTTTTGACTCTATGCGTCTTACTTATGGGATGGAGTAGTATGTTTAAAAAAATGTTAATCATGTATTTAGAAATGTTAAACGTGTTTATAAAAAAGTTCTCAATGTATAAAAAAATGCACAATGTGTATGAAAAATAGACATGAAAAGATATGTTTTCAAAATATTTAATCATGCATTTGAAAATTGTCAAATGTGTATGTAAAAACTGTTCCTGGTGTATATATACGACAAATGTAGAATGCATATGAAAAAAATGGCATCAAGATACATGTTAAAAAGCTGTTAATAATGTATTTGAAAAAAAGTTCATCATGTACCTACTTTTTTCATAGAACGTAGAAAATTGTTTGCATAAGTTAAAGAAAATGTTTATTTCCATTCAAAAAAAAGTATGTTGCATTTTATATAAATATTCACGTGTTCCCAAAATATCTGTGAAATTTTGGAAAGTATTTATAAAATGTCCCTGTAGTGTTAAAAAATGTCTATTTCCATTGAAAATGTTCAACGTGTAGTTGAAAATGTTGACCATGTATTATAAAAAAGGCTTCAAGACCATATGTTAAAAAGGAAAATGTATATTGTGTAATAAAAAAATGTTCAACGTGTATCAAAATAATGTTGCAATGTTGCATGAGTATATTAAAAATGTATATTATGTACTGAAAAAAGTAGACATGTGTTTAAAAAAAACTGTGTAACTTACAAAAGAAAGAATAAAAGGAAAACTGAAGAAAAAACAAAAAACAATGAAAACGGAGAAAGAAACAAAGAAAATATATAAAAAAGAAAGAAACGAAGAACCAGTGAAAACTGAGAAGGAGACGAACAAAGTGAAAAAGGAAGAAAAAAGAAAGAAAAAAAGGAACCAGCGAAAACTGAGAACAAGATAAAGCAACTCAGGTGAAAAACAAAGAAAACCAAAAACCGGAGAAAATGAGTGAAGAAACACAGAAAACCAAAGAGAACAGAAAAGGAAAAAATCTACAAAATACAGAGCCAAAGCCAGCGACCGAACAGAACCACTAGTGTCTCGATTGAAACCCAGTAAATGAATAAAATACGAAAAATGGGCCAGCTCTGTAGCTACACGCGGGCAGAATACTTCAGGGGAGACGCACGCCTCACGTTCTCCAAGTGGCATATAGCACCTTGGAAGAATAAGAAGTCCCGTTGCAAACTACTTCCTCCGTTCCTAAATATTTGTCTTTTTAGAGATTTCAACAAGTGACTACATACGGAGCAAAATGAGTGAATCTACACTCTAAAATATGTCTACATACATCCGTATGTGGTAATCTATTTGAAATCTCAAAAAGACAAATATTTAGGAACAGAGGGAGTACAACACTCTTCCTACAATTGGACTTAAAGCAAGACAATTTATCGTCTTCCCTTGTAGAGACGAGCACAACGATTTTCTTGGTGTATCTATTGTGGTGATTGAAGAACTGCTTGATCCGGTCAGTTTAGAGGTGATGACATGCAATGAGGCAATTGCTGCAGCTCAAGATCTTAATAGCACACCCGCAAAAAAAAGAAGATCTTAATAGCACGACTGTTAGTTGCTTCAAACTGTGTGGAGATGGTTACCAATTTTCATAACAAGGCCCCATGTGCGTACGTGATGATTTTAAGGGAGATTGATCATCATTCTAGGGCACTTCATGAGGTGTCAATTGTCCATGAGAACAATGATTCAAATGACGAGGCTCATAGCCTAGTTAAGACAGCAACTGCCCTCAATTCAGGTTGTCATATTTGGGTTGGCATACTGAATGAATAAAAACCCATTTTCCACTCAAAAAACCTTTATATTAAATCTTCAAGAGAAAAACATTGTATGAAAAAAAATACTTTGTAGCAATACATCGTGCTTGACTAGTCGAAACTTCGGGTATGGAACACAAGAATGTGAAAATAATGTTCTATTTTTGGCCCTTGATTTATGGGAATCGTTTCTGGCCGTGGCGCCGGCCGAACCGTTCCGCCGGACTCGTCCACGCGCGCGCTGCAGCAAGTCAAGTCGCGACACGTGGGGTGGTGGGCCCCAATCACACGGCCTTATCCCCTTCTAGCTTTCTCTCCAACTGCTCGTTCGTTTCTTCTATGTCTTCTCTCTCTTCTCATCTTGCAGATCCTGCCTTGCTGGCGTTCTCCCGAGCTGCCGTCCCCTTGCGGCACCAGCAGCTACCCTTCTCCGCTTTTTGGTGCGACAGGGGCTCCCTGGAAAGGTGCTGGGACCTCATCGTGCTGACAACCTCCATGGATGATGACCACGACGATGGCTGCACACACAGCGAGCAGACGACGGTGCTGGAACCAGCATAGTTTTCTGCTTCTTTTTTGTCCTTCTTCCTTCTCCCTCTATTCCCTTTCCTCCTCCTCTCTTCCCTTTTTGCTGCAACCAGCGACAGGCCAAACACGGGGAGGACCGAGGTGCCCGTGCTACAACCATGGCCACAGGGAGGAGCTGCAACCGCGGTATTAGGAGAGTTGCAAACGGCGTTTTTCCATGCTACAACCATGAACACAAAAGGCTATATCCAGTAGATAAAAAAGGTTCAACCAGACAACGAAATACAGGAAAAGCTACAACCATTTGACAAAAATCTTCAACCCGCAGATGAAAAAGCTTCAACCAGAAATTGAGAAATCCTCCTCGACGATGCCCATGACGTCTCTCTATATTTTTGCTGCAATCGCAGAGTAAAAAGCTGCAACCCTTTGTGAAAAAAGCTTCAATTAGCACGGTGGAAAGCTTCAATCCGCGAGAAAAGCTTCAACATGCATAGAAAAAGCTTCAGCCGATGAGATAAAAAGCTTCAACCTGACTCGCCAATGGCAGCGAGCAGCGGCGTTGAGAGCTGCGTCGGTGACACGACAATGCAGCGACGATGGCGGCTGCTAGGTGCTGCAACGACAGGGGGTGCCGGTGTGCTTCAAGACGGTGCCATCTTTTTCTACGAGGGGTGACGGGCTTTCTGCTGGACCAGGAGGTCCAGGCGAGGGGGCTAGTCGCCGGCGGCAGGAGCGGCTGGGGTGGGGGCGCGGTGAAGAAGAAGAGGAAGAAGAAGTCAACGCAGGGGGAGGGGGCGCGAGGAACAGATGTGACGGCTCGAGCTCACGGATCGGACGGCTCGAACGCGACCGGCCGAACTATTTCGGCCGGCGCGCCGGCGCCTATCACTAGCCTTGATTTATGTAGTTTTTTTATTCACCTAATTGACTCTAGGCTTCCGTCCAATGATTGGATTCTACAACTAACTGCTTTCTGATTTAAAAGTCCCACCTGTATCCTTGGATCGGTAATTTGACAAACGTAACACGAGTTATATATCACAACAAATATACTATTAGAAACATTTAATGTTATATTTTTTATTGGTATAACTTTTGTGACATACAATTTATATTATATTGGTCGAATTGTTGATCTAGGATAGGCATGAGCCTTTGAAACCGGAAAGGAGGAAGTTGATTTTAGGGTTTTAAAATTTCTAACAGAATCCCTGCAAACCGAATGGTCCCTCAAAATAAAAAACTTCATACACACAAGACACTTCTACTTTTCTATACAACAAAAGTTTGTTGAGTTTTTGAAGAACCGCTCACTATGAGTAGCCACTTCATGTGGAGGACAGATGACCCATGGATTTTGGTTGCAACCTAGTGTGGATGTTTCTTTAACCGGGCTCGATGATGATCCAATGATAGAATACGTGATTGCATCATTTTATCTTGTTAGTTCATGGTTATTCTGAGCTCTGTGCTCCTTTTACTGTTAATCTGTTTAATACTCTAAACTTTATCAATATGGTTGTATGCATCATTTCATGGAGAGGCCAGGGTAGACCCTCCTTTAGAAAACATATATATGCATAATAACCAGAAAACATTTAGACATATGAAATGACATCACAAAGTACCAAAACATATATTATAGTACCAGCAAAGTAGCTCACAACCAAAGTCATAGCAGATCATACAATACAATACACAGTCGAGCACTACGGCGTTAATTACACATTGAACTGAATCATGTGCACGAAGACCGACATAAGGCATCATCGATCACAACATGTGACAAATACAAGCACACAGATTTTTTCTTATTGTGGTAACTTGAACAACTTGATCGATCACTTGATATACTATAAGCTAGTAGGAGCGATCGAGATGATCGATTAGCCGAGGCGCAGGTCGTGGGAGCCGCCGTAGGCCATGCCGTGCAGGTTGGGCTGGCTGGGCACCACGCGGAAGGCGTACATGTCGGCCGCCGAGCCGCCGCCCATCGCCACCGCTGCCACGCCATCCCACCCGCCCGCCGCCACGCCATCCCACCCGCCCGCCGCCGGGTTGTCCACGAACCCGTACGCCGGGTCCTCGCGCATGCCCTGCGTACACACGCGTGCACAGTCATCATGGTCAGCTCGTATTCATGCATGATCGTGGTTACATAGCTAGCTAGGGAGCGAGAGAGCTCACCAGCTCCTGCTGCAGATTCTTGTATGCCTCCTGGGAGTGCTTCACCTGAATATATGCAATGGATTCCGAGAGAAGCATGAATTAGTACACGAATGCAACAAGCTGCAGGGTAAACGAATGCAACAAGCTGCAGGGTAAATACATGCGTATATTTATCGTACAACAGGAGGCACCGAATGACAAGAGCCAGAGTCTATATCTACACATAGAAGGCATGCATTACAGTGTTAGACATGTCGCGGAGACACACAATTTGGCATGGGTTTGTTGCTTCTCTAACTGCATTGTCATTGAGAAACCTCTCAAGTAAAAAGATGTGTTCAGAATGAGTAGGAAAACCTGGCCAGTTTATATGAAGGACCATGGCATACATGCAAACTAAGGGCTGGGGATTTCCTATATGTGCTCTTAGTTTTGTCCCTCTAGCTATAGGTTCCTCCATATATCCATGTAGAATATAATGGTGCTACCACATATGCATGTATGCCATGTGTCCATGTTGACAAGATGTATAGTTCCAACTAAGCA